TACACGTAGGTCAATCCGATTATCAAGAAAGTACATGTATTGGCAGCTGGATGTAAAAAGACAACTCTCAGTCCCCTAATTTGATTGCACAATGCCCTTTTTAAATGCGAGAGCCTTTACATGTCCATAAGGCATGTCAAAGAGAAATGTTACAGCAGTGGTCGTTTTGCATGGCAGCCATCTTGGAGGATACTTTGTGTGTTTCACAGTGAGAAAACTGTGGGTACATCCCTGTGAAACAAAACCACTTACCTGATTGATGGCTACCACACCAAACCTTTTCAGTTCCTTCCTTTGTGTAAGAAAAAACAAAGAAAGCCCAGACTTGACAATTCCTTTTGACTTTGCACTCTGTCCAGAGATGTGGCCCGTGCCATCATAGCCCACAAGCATTGGCAGCATGCCATGTACTCAGTAAGCCGTGACAAATTCACCAAGATGAGATCCACCCCTATGCGGAAATTGATCAAGAAGATGCCAGGTAGGTGTAATTAGGTAAACGTCCTTGTCAGGGTGGTAGATACAATTCAACAGAGCTACATGTGGTTGGGGCTGTTTTCACAGGTGTCTCCCAACACCTTCCCGTCATTACAGGATTGCTTGTTAAAGAGTAGCTGCAATAAAGTTTTCTTAGACACAATTTTTCTGCAAACTTTTGCCCTTTTTCAATGTACAAAAACTCTTCTACATTTCGGTTGGGTTTAAAAACTTATAAAAGTGTCCATGCCCTTACTGAGGGCGCTGTTGTTGTGATGTCATCCAGGAAAGATACATTTCAGTGCATACATGTACACTATAGGTTTGGCTGTTCAAATTGTGAACCCAGAATTTACTTATTCAAAAAAATTCTGAAAATGGAATTGATGCTTCCATATTGCTATACACATGAACAATGAAAGCATAGAAGAAAAAACTTCAGTTCAACAAAATCTTCAAAAATGTAGGACTTCTTTGTGCAACATTGAGGCTTTCTTCTTGGGATGGCATCGCAGTTTTTCTCATGAATATGGAAAAACATTAGCATAAAAACCAAAAAGGCAGTAGAATGCTCTTTGAAATAGCTAAACAAAAGCTGAAAATAAGGTTAGCTGACTAAAAAGGTGTATTCTGAAGGTTTCTATTAAAATGAATTGATGGCAGCTACTCTTTAAAAGACAGCAGCCAAACATGGTTGAAGCAACACAGGTTCTCGGACTTTACTTTTCTTTTCAAAAAGATAAACTCTCCAGATCCATTACGAGGAAAAAGAACAAAATGTTCAAAAGCAACTTTTGAATACTTTTCTTTGTTACTATTGTCTTTAATAAGATTTGCAGAAACAGTAACCCCCAAGCTGGGTTTTGAGCTCCCAATCTTGTAGCCAGTCCTATTAAAGTGCCATGACAGCGCAGTGGCAAGCAGATTCCAAAATGTTGTTTGATTCTGTTCCCATTTTGATTGTTTTTCCTTTTAATTTTACTTGCTTACTTACTTACTTGTAACTTTGTTTTCTGGGTCACATCAAAAATGCTGCAACACTGTTGGTACACGACAGTAGCATTTATCACTTTCCTAGTAATCAATGACACTTCAGACTGCACTCTGTAGTGTCACTTTAAATACACTTGAGCAGAGGAAAATCATCACAGGTCACAGTTTGTCCAATGGTTGAAAGAATTGCACATACAATGTAAAATGGCTGCTGCCGTTTCTGAGATACCCGGTAAGTAGTTTTGGCTGTTCTTTGCTCAAAGCGGACATTTTTTGTTCTGAATTGTAGATGTTGCAATAGCAGTTTTCAACCGATGCGTAAGTGAGAACGACTACCCGCCCGAGCACAAACGTTACTGCATCACCTTCGACTATGAGCTGCTGGATGACATGTTCTCCAAATGGGATGATAACAGTCCAGGTAAAGTCTCCACTGATGTGGAAAGAGAGGAAAAGGAAGTATCCGTCAATAACCATGAAAGCTGTCCCTTCAGGATGCACTGACAAAGAAAAATTAAAGTCACCCGTATCTTTGGCAACCATCCGTGTTTTCCAAGACCCAATAGAACTTTGGTGCTGTGGCTACTTATGTCCTGTTCTTATTCCATCGTGCCTAAAACTCGTTGCCAGTCAGGTTGTGCATATGGGGGCACATCATATTTGGCAGTTTTATATTTAAAGGGTTACAGAAATAGAAAACATTTAATTCACGTCAAGTATCGATATTTAAAAAAACAAGAAATACGTAATCATTTCAAAAACATCATAAATTTAATGTTTACCCCATAATTGTGACCACAAAATGAATAAAAAGATCTTGCGTTTCCCTGCCCACAAAAAATCACCAGAAGGATGCATGTACAGTGTCCATGTTTATTGCGCAGAGTACATGCAGTATCTCATGCTTCAATAGACCACGTTGTGTTTGATGTAGCTTGGCCAACAGATCAAACACTGTTTCAGTTCAAGAAATACACAATAGGACTGTGTCTTTTAATTTCTACCTTGAACTGAGACAGTGTTGGCCTGTGGGCCAAGCTACATCAAACACAACCTGGTCTATTTGCATTTACTTCAGGTGAAGTAAATGTTTTCTATTTCTGTAATCCTTTAATTCAAGCAATAAGAAACCCAGGAAAAAGCGGCAGTTTCCAGTGCATCATGAGACATATTGAATGACTGCCGTCAGACTCATGTGCTTATGCATTCATTCAGCAAGGAGACACATGAGTTGAAACAGATGATCTCATGCGGTGTTCAGAATACTGCAATATATAACCCACATGTACTGTGACAACCAGTGTGGCAGATGGGGCTGATTAGTTTGCAAGGTGGCTAAAAGTGACTACTGACGCTGATTTAGTCTGACATCAGTAGAGAAAAACCAAACGAAACTCATTTACAAACACATCTGTGGGAGAACATGTTCCAAGGATTCCCTATGCACTGCATTCAGATCAATCTACCTAATAAATGAGGGCCTGGCGGTTAGGGACAGCATGAGGACAAACAGGACAGGCGATTGAAGAGTTTTAGAGACTATAAAGTTAGTGAAAGGATGACAGCAAATGAGACAAATGCATGTACCTGTACATTGCACTTACCTACACTCACGGAACACACTCAGTGTTACTCTGTTACTTGCAGGTGCCGTGTTAATCTTTGGGTGAACTCAGAACTGAGAATTTAACCCTCACCTCTAGGCCTTTTTCTTACATGTAGGCACCACCCTCAATCCTTCAAAATCCTCTGATTATTCTTGCCAAAAAAGTTGCATTCAGCTAAACAAAAGGTACAATGTTCCAAACTCCTCCAATATTTCTCGCGTATGCTTCTTTGAGGGGTGCCCATTATCTCAGTCCTTCAAAATCCTCTGGCAAGTCCTGTAATTGTGTTGAGGCAGTGCAAATGTACCATGGAGCAGTACAGGTGATTTCATAAATAACCTAGACACAAATTTATGCATGACCGAGCTTAAACAATCAAGACAGGTGAAGGTTTAATCATTTTTTCCTGTGTATGCCCGTGATCTTTTCTTCTTCCTGCATTTTGAAGTTTTCTCAAAACAAATGCACCAAGCTTGAAAATCTTTTCCAAATATTGCCCTCCCCATTTGTTGAAATTTGTTGCATGCTGACAAGCTAAAACCTGTTCTTTCCAAATTAACCTGCATGGAGCATTTATATTCATACCTTGCCAGGATGGATACTGCTGAGAGGTACATGTAACTTGCTTTGCTGTTGGGCTCTGTGGAAGAAGTTGTGTTTGCAGTAATTGTCAGAATTACTAACCCATGGTTTTCCTTGTGCCATCTTTTTGTTGCTGGCTTTCACATCTTTGTTAATTTGCAAGATTCCATTAGTGTATTATTGTTTTTGTAGCATACAGAGTTGATAATGCTGTGCAAGTGTGTCACTGTATGTAATATGTACAGGCAATTGTAGAGGCTAACAGTGGATGCTGAAAAGTGTAATTTGTGTTGAAATGTGCATTGGCTTCCCTTGTCTTGCGTTGTATTAAGTTTGCCTGAAAACTGTCCTAAGGGTTGCAGTGTTTTCCATGTATCCTAGACAAAATGAAGGGAAGGTTAAATTTCACATGGGAAAATCAATTTTCAATCAATCAGTCAATTGAAATGTGGGAATAATTGTTGACTATTTGGAATTTGAACTTGTTGCATTGGGGTCAAATAAAGAATACCCAGCATTGTCTTTTTTTTGGGGGGTGCTTGTTTTTTTAACTAGTCAGCTTTGATAAAAAAGGGCTTTAATCATATGTTTTTGTTCTGTAAAAAAAGGGTATTTACTTGTACACATGTAAGTCCTTACATGTGTCTTCAACCAGCCATGTGTTCTGCAGTGTTCATTAAATTGGTCTTAATCTGTTCCTTGTTGCAGACAATGTTTCCGAGGTTTCAGGAAATTCTGATGACAACAGCCCATTTTTGGAGAATGGAAATCTTTCCCCAACCGCTGTACCTTATTCGTCCAGCTCCAAAATGCTGAGAGTCAACCACCCCCTGACCATAATGGTACGTCCCAAGAGAAGTGGCAGGCACACATTTATTATCCACACAAAGAATTTTTCAAAAATTTAGCAGTGCACTGTTCATAAAAAGATGTACATGTATATAGTATCAAACATGCACAGCGTGCATGCGCAACCACCGTGTAGCAAGTAGGTCTGATGAAATTCTTTTAAAGTTTGCCGTCTGTAATAACTCAGCAACAATGTTACTCAGGCGCCGACCATGTGTGAAAGTTATGGCTGCAGCTAGAAATACATGTACATGTAACTCAGCCTGAGGAGCCATTGACTTGTGGCTGAACCCATTCCACAATAGACAAGTGTATTGCTGCAAGTCTCAGCCAGTTGATTTGGACATGGAGACACCTGAGTACCATTGCTGATGTGAGCCAGGACTCAGCTACATTGTTGTCACATATTGGTCGTGGCTTTGTGCACATTCACATGAAAAGCAATCAAGTGTGGAAACCACATAGTCAGTCAGTTTGTTCTCTATTGTCTGCACTTTCAAGACGAGCAGTACGGTAAATACTTCACAGGTCATTGTACATATAGGCCTAGTGAGTAAAATGTATTAATTTTTTCTCTGTTATTCTTTCTTGGATGCAACCTATGTCAAGAAGACGGGAAAGGAAAAATTCGGCAAAAAAGAAAGTTCTGAAGGACAAATGCCACAAGATAGAAATGCATGTTGATGGCAGTTTTTGTATACTCTCATCCGTGTTTTTTAGTGGTGTTGTAAGTGGAGAAAAGAAAATGCCTTGGAAACAAATCTGGAAAAACATGACTGTGTTTAAAAAATGTTGAAAAAGTTGACAGCTGACTATTTTGAAAAAGGCATTTCTTATATCACAGCCACACAAAAATGGCTCCTTCATGAGTAGATTTAAAGACTCAAGGAGACAACTCAGCAACAATCTCCGTGCGAGGTTAACGGCATGAAGGGTTGTCACACGTCTTTAGTTTGACTGAATTCTGTAAGTCAACAATTGTCTCTGTTATGATTGAAAACCCCCAGGTGAAATCCAAACGGGACGACTTGCTGGGCCACCCTCTGGTCACCAGCCTCATGCAGCACAAGTGGGACAGTTACGGCCGATTCTTCTACTACTCATCACTGCTGTTCTATGCTCTCTTCCTGGTGTTCCTCACCGGTAGGAAATCTGTTGGAAACCTTTCTAGTACGGTTGGGTTTAGAGACACAGGTCGAGGGCTGTCCGTAAAGTACATGTACATGTAACGGTATGTGCCCATTTAGGGGACAAGGGGATTGTTGACATTGCTAGCACCTTCCTTAGGGGATGTGTGCAATAAGGTAAATAAAGTCCTATTTGTACCTGCAGGGACCAGCTTTTTACATCAAAAGTCCTTCACTACACATGACCTTTCACCCTCATTATTTGAATCTTCGCTGTGCCAGCATAACTTTTCTGAAGGGTCACAGGGCACTATACATGTAATACGCATACTGGAACATGCATATAGAGAGAGGCAGGTTGGGAACACTTTACATGTATGTCATTTGTATGGAAGAGAAGGGTCTAAAAATCTGCATTCTGTGCATACATGTACGTGTCTCATGGACGATTCTAAGTCTGCCCGAACCAATACAGCACATCTGGCCAGTGCTCATCTCCTGTTGTGGATCATGTTGAATGAGAATATTCTGTTCCCACTGGATGGGATACTAGGCCATCAGGGCCTGTTCTCTTGCTAATGCTGAATACCCATCTATACTCCTCTGTGGAGAAAGCCCAGTTGGGTAAAATGGCTTGCTCAAGGACACAGTACCGGTATATCGCCAACAGCTGGATTCAAACCCCTGATCATAAATTCTGCTGTCAATCCAAACTACCAGATCACTGCTCTTACTTTGGGCTGAACGGTAAAAATTAGTATTTACTGTCAACAATGTAGAAGGCAAGAGAAAAAGTACACATTCAAAGAGACTCTAACCCCCTATCCCCTGCTAGATGACTGAATCTCAGTGTGTTGTAGCAGTGGTTATTACTATAGTTAAGGAAAAATAAAAAACTGTTGCCTTTCACCTGTGATTGTAAAACTTGGGTTTATTGCATAAAATCTCATTAATATTTCTCCAGATTTGCTTAATTTGAAAATCTAGGCTTTGATTCTAATTGACCACAAGCCTACACGTATACTTATTAGAATTGTGTAATCCGGTGTCATTTTTGTCAGTCATACATCAGTAATGTAAAATACATTGTAGAACTCAATATTTCCATTCTCTTTCTGTTAAGAACTGCTTGAGTCTTTCATCCCTAACCTCGTCCGTCAAAATTCACGAGCATTTTTTTTAGGAAACTCTATAAGGATGAGACAGGTACAGCCGAGTCACTTTACTATACAAAAGTCTTAATGCTTTGTGAAAAGTCATAGCATGGAGAATGTGTCTATGGCTTCTTTGCAGAGCAAGGGGATTAGGATGAGTTGGAGGAATTAGAAGGTTTCCTGGCAGAGAATGCTTAGGGGTGAGAGGGTTGAGTTGCTGAATGATTAGAATCCTTTTGTTCTTGGGCAGGCTACGTTGTGACCAACCCCCCATCATTCTACTACAAGGTGAATTCCACTGATGGTACCTTTGAGTGGATGGCTGATGGTCAGCAACGCTGGGAACGAGACTTCAGCTCTGCTACTCACTTCCTCTTTGGAAATGTTGGACACTGGGTCATCATTGTTTTGTCGGCAGTTAACATTTTGAAAGAGGTGAGAGAAATAGTGGAGCTACAATGTGTGTTGATTGATCAGTAGGTAGTGTGTCTTTTTGATTTTGTGGCTTTGACGAGCCACAAAGACCTTTTCCTTAATATGTTGAAGTGCATTTTAGCTAGTGCACTACAAATCTTTTGGCAAACTTTCGGTTTTTAACATTTGTGTTTCCAAACTTTTGTTCATTTGTGTAACCAAACTTCTTTGAGTCATCAAACTCAAGGTTTCTGAGCAGAAATAATGGCCTTTCCAAACTTTCACAACCACTATTCTTTAGTGAAAATTGTCACTCTGAAAATGGGCTGGAGAATGAACTACGGTACTTGTACTAATGTGTACCACATTAAGGGAACTACTGCATTTGGTGCCCTCAGTGTGAAAATCCTAAAATTGATTGTGGAAAAAAAGGTGTGCATGTTCTACTTCAGGAGCTGATCACTCATTTTAGACTTTCTGGGGACATTACACATTTTCCCTCAGCAGGTTGCATTTGTTTGACCACTTTCAGTTGACCAGATTTTACTTTTAAGCTCAAATTTCATGGACAGCCTTCTTGAATGCCCCTTCAGCAGTGAAATTGTTGAGCATCATGGTAAGGCTTTGATATTCACATCAGCCTATAAATCTTAACTGCAGCCCTTTGGGAACTGCCTTCAATAATACTTTTTTTCTTGCCTTTGGTTTCCAGCTGGGCCAACTGTTCCATCAGAAACTCAACTACATTGGCTGGGTGAATCTGCTGGAGTGGGCCATATACGTGCTGTCCATTCTTTTTGTGTTACCATTGTCTGGTGTGTACTACCCCTATGGCACCAGCACCACCGATTGTAGCACCTCATCAGATACAAATTGCATCATGCTGCGATTGGTAAGACTTACATGTACAGTGTACTATCAAGGCTGTCACCGTGATCCATGTACATGCATGAACCTTCCTATGATGTGGTAAATAGCATCTGCTTCAAATGAAGCCAACGGAAAATGGTGTGACCATCACAGGAAGCAAGTTGGACTGTACTGCAAGGCAGACGGGTCAGCTTAGCTTAGTAACACGTCGGCCAGAGTTTCGTCAGTGTCCGTGACATCTGGCGAATTTACATAAAGCCTTGAGCAATTACTCATATCAATTTGAAATCAATCGAAACTTAGATTTGCACTCTTCCGCACTTGCTCATGGTGAATGTGTGCTCCCAGTTAGAATGTACATAGCTAATGCGAATATACGTCTGCATAGAAACAGACTTCTTCTTCTACTGTTGCATTCCTTTGAATGCCACAGTACTTTTTGGACACATTAGAGTGTTAACGGATGTGGGATGATATACATGTAATAGTTATTAATAGACAACTAAAATGTAGAAGGGGGGTAATTTCTAGGGATTTTTCCAGATTCCAGGATTTCTGTAACCCCCAAATTGTGGATTTCATCAGTCATGTTTGTTACGTTTTAGCACAGTTTTAAAGAAAACAACTAGAACAGAAAAGAAATGGAATATTTTCATGATTATAACCATTTGGAAAAATGTAAGGATTTGTATCCCTAAACAACAACATAATTTCATATATTGTGAGTAAAGACAACCCCTCTGCTGGATGTGAAATGGATTTGTCTTCAACTTTTCGTCTCACTCTTGATGCAATACCCTCATGGCCAGTCAAGAGACAGTGTGTCTATTCAGTACTTAAATCTGAAAAACTCTGCCCTGAGGTATCTTATTCATTGTTGTATAATCTGTTAAGTGGGAGGGGGGTGCCAGACTATTTGAGGTTCCATACCACTTTTTCGTTTTCTTTTAAATGTGGCTTAAAAATGGGATATAATTAATCTCAAATTTGAGATTATTGATCAGCATGACATTAATGACATTAATTTATGATGAAGTTTTATTTGTTGCTTTCATTTTTATTCTCAGGTTCCCACAATAAATAATGCTCCCCTCGCTTTATATTCAATATGGCTGATTTGTGAATACGGTGAATTTGCTAACCCTCCCTGCTTTGATATGATTGTTGAATGGTAGGACTGGCAGTGGCAAATAGGGGCAGTGGCCGTGTTCTTGGCCTGGATCAACCTGATTCTGTTCCTGAGGAAGTTTCCACAGTTTGGCATTTACATCGTCATGTTCACAGGTAAGCCTGACCCCAGAAGTTAGCTCATTGCTGACAGTGGATGCCTGACCCCAGAAGTCAGCTCATTGCTGACAGTGGATGCCTGACCCCAGAAGTCAGCTCATTGCTGACAGTGGATGCCTGACCCTAGAAGTCAGCTCATTGCTGACAGTGGATGCCTGACCCTAGAAGTCAGCTCATTGCCGACAGTGGATGCCTGACCCCAGAAGTCAGGTCATTGCTGACAGTGGATGCCTGACCCTAGAAGTCAGCTCATTGCTGACAGTGGATGCCTGACCCTAGAAGTCAGCTCATTGCTGACAGTGGATGCCTGACCCCAGAAGTCAGCTCATTGCTGACAGTGGATGCCTGACCCCTGAAGTCAGCTTATTGCTGACAGTGGATGTCTGACCCCAGAAGTCAGCTCATTGCTGACAGTGGATGCCTGACCCCAGAAGTCAGCTCATTGCTGACAGTGGATGCCTGACCCCAGAAGTCAGCTCATTGCTGACAGTGGACCCAAGAAGTCAGCTCACTGCTGACAGTGGATGCCTGACCCCAGAA